ACTGTATCGATCGATAAGCTCAACTACTCTTTGCGGTACGGACTACGAACACCTGGATCGGTATCCGTTATTCCCACAGACGCTCCCTAGTCGAGCGACTAGATAATTTTCGGAGTCTCAGCTTCCCGAACTTTCGACTACCTAGTCGCCGCGCCGACGGTCATCGTCGGGTCATGGACGGACGTCCTAAAACCATGTCCGGGAATATATTGCCCCATTCGCGGCGAACCGCATTTAATGGCTCCTCCTAGCACGGGAGAACGTTTTTCCCCCTCGTGTGGATTCCCACTAATCGGTGTGACCAGAGCTATGAAATTCCCTGTCTGAGCGCAGTTATAGGTTGGTACGTAGCTTCTCAAGTTAACGCAATTCTATATTTGATTTCCATCCGATTCAACAATTCAATCAAGCGGAGGAAGACTCGATCCGAGGACTCTGCGCACGAATAACAGCGCGAATATTCACTTTCCCGAGCCCATAATCTGACTCTATAACCGACTCCGGTTATGCCAGAGCAGGAAACGCTCCGATTCGTCTCGAATTTCTTCGCGAGAGCATTTTTCTCTATCGAATAACTGCACACCGAGGAGATCCGACGAGCACACCTTAGGAGCTTCCCTCGCACTCCGAACTTTTCTCACGAGATTGGGGAAGTTCGACCGAACATATTAGAACGATCCCCCGCGACCGCTGACGCTCGATTCCTTTCTTTGGAATCGATTCCTAAGGCAGATTAGCAGCTCCCACCCCCTCCCTCGGCGGTCGGTTTGAACTATTGTCGCCTCGATATTGCATCCTCCCCTTCATTCTCTTGACTCAGAAGTTGAAATTCCCTGCGGCGACATAGACCACACCGGTGTAGCCCCATCAGGCTCACGGCGAGTGGCATGAAGATGAAGCCAAATAAAACGAATGGGGAGAATCTCCATGCTGGCGCTGTCGGCACAAGAGAGCAGACAAGAACGAAACTGCAGCGTCTCGCGTAAGACAGACCCAAATATTAAACTGTCGGTCTGCTGAGAGTCCATTATGCCGGGGAATGGATTGAGGCAGAGGAAGCGAGCGAGAAACATCTGGTCTCTGCGAGCGGTTCGCCATCAGCTGACTCTCGACAACTCGGCTCTCGAGTCGTCCAGGCCTCCCTGTCGCTCATTCCCTTGATGTCCGCCGTAAGTTCATTTCTCCGGCTGGAGCGCGTTCCGTCGCGCATCCAGCTCTGATGGAGGGATCGACTCGATTAATCTGTGGAATTCGAGCTATCAGCTCGGGTTTGTTGTGTTTTTAAGTTGCAAATCGATGACGAACGCGCGACCTGTGCGAATGGCTTTCTCGCGATCTCGGTTCGACGGCGAACCGAGCTTCGTCCGTTATTTGAATCGCTTGCATTCATCACCTCGGTCGGTCACCTGTCGTTCAATCAGGCCGAGCGATCGACTGATCCACGCACGAGGATCCGATTACGGACGTCCTGAGCCCAAGACGAGCTCTGGTTGGACTCTTCCCTTCGAAGCAATAGAGAAGAAGGGACGCTGTAGACTCATTACCATGCGTCAATATTGTCGTAGATATTCTCTTCCACAAACGCGTCAAGCGAGATGTGGCAAGTGAGAGGACGCCTCTTCTTGATGGAGTACACCGAGGAATCTGACGACGTCTAGAAAGTTCGGAAATATCGTTATCCTGTCCTAAGAGGAAAGATTGAATGATCTCCGCGTGACCGGATGCCTCATTTGAGTGCGAACTCCATCTCCCCGGGGCTTTCGCGATCTCAGTCCGTGTCAAGACTCGAGACGCGTGAATGGGCGGAACGCCATAGGCTCGTCGTTTGTCGAGAATGAACTCGGCTGTCAGCGTGGATCCTCTGTCCGGTCATCTGACGAGCGACTGGACCAGAATCGTGAGCAGGCTTCAGTTTGTCGAAGGATCGTCTATCGAGAGCATGATATATATTCGTTCCACGGCTGATATGTTGTGTCTAGCCGACGTTCTCGCCTCTGATCTAGCCCAATATTGCAGCCTTTGTGGTAAACGAGGAAGGATGAGCGAGCAGCAAGCGTGCTAAGCTCGCCGAGAGATCTGCCGAAGGTCTCGATGAAGGTTCGGGCCTCGTATCGGATTTACGGTGACTCATGAGTTATGACAATAACTCTAGGCTCTAGGGACTCTAGGGAATGGGTATCGAGGTTGACGAATTTCCGAAAGCAGCCCTCGTGAAGTCGTGACCGACACTTCTCTGAGTGAGCCGCGACCCCATCTCCAATGTCCTCGAGGAAAACATGACTTCCTTGCGTACGTTGCGCTCGCATAAAGAGAAATGAATCGCTCCATGCGTTAGTTCTTGACTCTATGCATAAAACTCCCGAGCTTACGAAAGACTTGGCAAAGAGCTCCAGCCGGAGCTCAGGTAGCGGCACGTCAAGCGGGACGTGTCAGACGTCGTTCGTTCCAGCCGAGACGGAAAGGGGCCATCGGAGAGCGGGGTCAAAGTTAGCCTGGGCAGCCGAGCGGAGAATGATGGGCCGGGAAAAGCTGAAAATAAGCTTGAGAACGGTTTCTCCGACATGAAGCTTCGACAAATAATGGTTTGTGAGATGTGCTCTCCTTCGCTCTCAGAACTCGGTCCATCGACGTAGGGCACTCAGTATATCGAGTAGTTCTCGACAGTATCGATTTTTCCGTCAGATTTTCCGGGCGGGTCCCCGCAAGCGATTAGCTGCGATGTGCCTACGGAAGACGGCGTCAGCGAAAACTCCGTCGCGGGCAGACCTTGCTTCGCAATCGTTCCCTGACTACATCGTTCTGATTTTTCCAATTCTCCTAGGAGGTGATGAACCCTGTAATATGAGCTGTCCGACAAAGGTGGATCTCACGGCGGATCCGGTGAGGTGGATCTGCACGGTCCTGACGGGCTGAGCTCATTACTCCGAATTTGCTCTCGGAAGGCGATAATCCCGGATGATTCGCGTTGAAAGATCGCCAGCGGCGGCTCCGGACAATCGAGGAAGTTTTCATTATGATCGCACGGCTCTCCTCCTCTCCGGGAATCCTCCCTCCCGGGGTCGGAATGCGACGCGTAGTTTCCTCGGTTGCCAGCTTCGAGTCGTTTTGCTCCTTCCGGAGCTGCTGCAGCTGCTGGGGCTGTCGCTTGTTATCTGCCGTTTCCACGAATGAGTAGATAGCGGAACAGCGATGTTCCCCAGATTCATCTTTGATTCAAGGGGTGGAGGGGAAGACGCATAAGCGAACGGAGAGGGAGATAGACGTTGCTAAAGGAAGAAAATGTCAATTGGTGATTGCAGTCAAGAGAGCAACACAACGCATCGAATTCTCCCGAAAGAGAATACCGCTGAACAGTTCTCTCTTCTCCGTACCGAGGTCCCTCGAGTTCCCGCGACCCAGCTGCTCGGACGAGACCAAAAGTTGAATCGAGTCTGGAAAGTCCGGCGTCTGATTTAGTCACGAGGATCCGGTTAGTGACCTCACTGCCCAGAGCAAACGCAATCTGCTCGCTCACTTTGCTGAGGGCTCTCTCGAGAAGTCCATTCGTTTGCCCATTTGTGGGCGGTATCCAAAAGGAAGCTGTCTGGCCTCGACTAGCATTGTTAGCTTCTCTCCGAATTTGAATACGTCAGCCCTGACCCTGATCTTGATGGGGCAAACAAGAGACGGAGAAGGAAGCAAGGGAACGGAGACGAAGAGAACGCTCTTCCCCCTCCCGAAACTTACCGGCTCCTCATCACGCGACAAAGGACTCGGCTCGACGACCTTCACCAGCCTCCTTACTGCGAACGAGCCTGACGAGAAGCTAGCGGGCTCAAAAATCAGTGCTGCAATGATCTGAGCGAGCTACTCCATACAATGTGTTTATGCCCGAACGGAGGGAAGGAACAAGAGGTCCTGAGACAGATCTGCGCATTGAATATCTAACGGAGGCCGAGAAGCCGGTTTCGAAGTCAAAGATTGAAGGTCACTCCTTATTTGTCCCGGAACGACCGTGTATAATAGGTACATACATAGATCCCGAGCGATCCCGTGCCCCTCGTTACTCGGAGCGGTAGTGTTTTATTACAGGTTTTCACTCCCTTGATGAGTCCCCTCTGCCTATGGGTTCAATGAATCCTTAAAAAGCCCACGTCCGCTTTCGGAGCCGCTCAGACGACCAGAAGCAGGTCGGGAGAGATCAGAGCCGGGGCGATAGGCACAGGAACGCTGAGGGGGGGGGAGGGGTCTGCTGTTCGAGAAAATCAGACGTCGCCATATAGTGTCAGACGTGATGTTCCACGGATCTAAATTAGATTAATCGCGGGCCAATAAGTGGCTCCGATTCGACCCCTCCGTCCGCCGACGCTTGGCCTGGAAATCTAACTAACACGCCCACGATTCTCCTCGTCCATAGCCCGAACGGTATCGCTCTCGGAGGCCTGTCCTGCTCTCCTCCAGCTCCCGGAGACCATCTAGTGTACGGTCAGCAATGAGTTGTTCCTGGAAGTTCCCCGACATTTTTATTCCACCAAAAGGGTCCTCACAATTTCAAAATCCTCTTCTGCTCGTCCTTCGCAGACGTGTCGCTCATAATTTCCTAAATGAAATCGGGCTGCCGGCTGGTTCGCGACCGACCACAGCGACAGGAAGCGCTCGATTCATCGCTCTCAAAACACGCGGTTTCCACTCCTGCACCGTCAGAAAGAAGGCTCGTGTATGGTGAAACCTCAAATAATTTATTCCGTAACATTCTCCGGTTCAAGTGGATCACACTTTCGATATACACAGCTCGTATATTATGAAAATCCTTCCAACATGTACACACACTGTTATTGTACAAATACGTACAGCTGAGCAAGATTGCTTTGCCTCGTTGGATGCTTGCGCTTCACTCAATCCCCTTCTCATTTGTTCTCGTTCTCATAATTCTCATGAAGGAGGTGGAGATCGCTATTTTTCGTGGACCTAAGAAACTTTGAGAGAAAAAAGGTATATTCACAGAATTTACACAGCCGGGCTCGCACTTCAGACCCACGCTTTCGAACAAATAATCTGTGTCGCGGTCCGACAACACAAAACCTTCCTGCGAGTATCACACCGATCGCTCGCATTGCCCCTACGAATCATTCGAGCCACTCGGCATCGAAACTGAACAGAGGTGGAGAATCCCGCGGGCGAACCCGGGTCTGATTTTCCTCTTGTCGAGCGGTGTTGGCAGAGAGTTTCTGAGGAATGGGTCAAGAAGGAGACAGGAGACCAGGAGGCTCCGTCTGGAGCTGAGGTCGCCGCTTTGATTTGTCCTTAAAAGTCCTGAGGCGCAGCCCGCTTATCGCCTACCCTCGGGGTGTTTGAGTTGCTGCGAAGGAATCCATGAGGATTGCTTCCGCTTCCCTCGAAGCGCTCCATCGTCTCACATTCATGATGAGGTCAACAGACAAAGCTCGCTATACAGTTGATTCAATGCCGTTGTTCGACTCTATTGCCATGCTGGGATCGATGTCGCCAACGATGGGATATGCAGAGTGGTCCTCGGCGGCGAGCAGGTGCTGACCTGGCACCGGTCGCAGGGTCCGATGGAAGTCGATCCGGGCGAATTCCGTCGGCGGTAGTTTTCCGCGTCTACCCAAAGTTCCCCCGATGGGAGCCGTCTGTGCACTGGTCACCACGGGCAGAGGATCCGGTTGGCCCGGAGGTGGTAGGGCCACGATACTCCTCGCGAAAACCAACTCGGAATAGTCTGCGTTGAGACCGGGATTCGAGGGCCCGCATATCATGTCCTGCGTCTGGAACGGATAATGAACAGAGCGCTTGATACATAGTCGCTGCCGCGACTCCGCGCAGAAAGCGCGACACCTTAGACGGGCCCGTGACGGGACACCGTCCTCGATTCCGTCTAAGGGGTGATAACGTGCCGCTCGCGAGATACTTCATGACACCTATCGATCTTGGATAAAGGCACTCGATAAAGACACTCTGCCTGTTCCGCCTGCGCTTGAGTGAACGTCACGACGAGGAGCCTTCCGTACGAACAACAAACAAAAGGAGCAAAGCCGCAAGTCATTAGCAAACAGTGGCCTTTGTCTCCATGTCAACTCCAAGAAAGAGCGCTTACCAGTTGACTACTGTGTAATGCGGCATCGACACTCGAACGACCAGGGAGGATTGTCGAGTAACGCTCAACCGGGAGAGCGCCCCTTTCGAGATTCACGTAATCTGCAAGAACGTGAGAAGGTTTGCCTCCGTCGTTCGACTGCTGGAACAGCTCCTCGCTGCTGCCCACCACCGACCGTGCGGGAGGAGATTACCCGGTCGCTCGGTCGGTGGTCGGACGACTGATCGAGGAGTCGAATACGACGGCGGAGCGTCTAGTGAATTTATACGTTCGAACTAAAAGCGGAAGCGCGACGTACAGCAGTTACCTTGAAGGCCCTTGTTCGAACTCCCGCGGATCGGGATGATATCGGGGCCTTTACACTCAAGATCGAGTGTTTCACTAATCATGGGATCCTTCTTCAGAAGCACGGCCAGAGGCTTCTCGTCGGGACAAGTTCCCGAGCTCATAACATTGTCCTTCTCGCTGGTTTGCGTCGCAGCTGCAATACGTTCAGTTGTTAGAGGAGGGCACCCGAGAGAACTCCATACAACGACGGACCTTCGAGCAAGAGTCGGGCGTACGGTCACACACACACACACAGAGACGACTTCCTACTAGCTAGTAGCTGCCAGCAGAAGAGTTCCCACCAAACAAAAGACGCCCGCTGTCTAGGACGTGCCGCGGCACGCGCATTTCTGCTGCTGCTGCTGCTGCCGCCGCCGCCGCTGCCGCCGCTACTCCATCAGGATTACACTTCTTCAGGCTCGCGCCGAAGGCTTTATTTTCAGAGCCTGTCCCCGCTGCTGTGGCAGCAGCAGCAGCAGCACATGCAGCACTCGTGAGTACTTCTGTCCGGCGAGCAGCTGCTGCTTGATCTCTGTCTCGGACATGGCGATTGTTTTCAGAAAGACCCGGGTCGTGACTTTCAAATGGCTCGGTGTCTGCTCACGTTTGTGCTTGTTGAGTCCTGTTCGCCGGCAGCGGAGAGCAACGATGAGGCCAACCGTGGTGATGATGAGCGCGATCGCTACTCCGACTATGATTCCGACCAGGGGCCTGAACGCCAGCATGGCGGCGCCGTCAGCTGCAAGAGAAAGAAAATATCCGGTGGCATTCGGTAAACCATTAAATTCTCATCAGAGCGAGCTACAGCCCAGCTACCCGGAGCCACGACCGACCGACCGACCCAAGGACGACCGTCAGCACTCGAAGCAGGCGAGCAAAGGGGAAAATGAGCGATGGAGCCGAGCGACCAATCCGCAATAGTGCGAGGGAACAGGAAAGAGAGAGAAAGCAGACCCCTATGCAAACAGGAAAAGGTCGACCAGTCAACCGACACCCCGACAGCTTCAGCGCTAACGATAAACACGGTCGAGGAATACATGACCACCTTTGATCAGAAGTCACCTCTGAGCCGCTGCAACTTCGTTCGCCAGGAGCGAACGCGGAGCACCGGGACCGGAATGTCGGGAAGAGGATCAGGGAACAAAGGGGGAAGCCGGAGCAGGATCGCTGACGGAGGGCGCTTCGCGGCTCGCGTCTCGTCATATCACCTACCTGTGTATTTTTCGGCGGGTCTCGGCGTTTGAGCCATGACAATGAACTGAGGGCTTCGACCCTTCGCATTGCTGGCTGTGATGACGACCCGAAAACTTTGTCCTCCTGGGATTCCTTTGATGACGAACAGTGGGAGACCTGGAGCGAAAAACCGAAATTATCCATTACACGGCTCCGCTGCGTGAGATCTCTAATCAGGGATCCGCCTCGTCCAGCGAGTCAGGAGAACAAATATCGACTGTGTGTATGCGTAGCAGTAACACGTCGAACGCGTTCGGTGCACCGCTGCCGTAACGGATGCCCGGCGTGAACGCCCGGGCGGAGCGGGACACAGCTTGTTGAGCCATCGACAACTCTGGGCTGATCGTTGAAAGAGGAGCGAAGCAACAGACAGCAGGGATGCGTATTATTAACCGCTTCCCATGCACCGCCGAATAATAATGATGTGCCGTTCGCGTATATGCCACCAAGTCTGGGCTTAGCGAATTGATCGTTGTCATTCGGTCTGAGTGAGTGAGTGAGTGAAAGAGCGGACGGACGGACGACCGAGCAAACGTCCGTCCGTCCGCCGGCCCGTTAGCCCGAACGAATGAGCGGACGATCCCATAAAGCAGCCAGAGACTAAATCAAAACTGGCTGGCTGATTCGAGGGCGGCAGTCACCGAGGTGGCTGATTGAGGGGAGCGAGTGGGTGGACGGACGAATGAATGAATGACTTACCGTGTGTCGTAACGTTCGCAACCGGACCTCTACCGGATCCCTCCGCCTCATAAACTTCGGCCACAAACACAGGATTTGAAAGACCTCCGTCCCAGAGACCTTCCGCGCATTCAATCGCCATTCCGTCCTCGGTCGCGTTCACTTGCGTGCAATTCTGGACAGCGTCTGGCGGTCCTAAAAGTGATGCTATTTAGTTTTAATAGCAAATGCAAAACCGTTTCCACGGAAACACCTCTCGCGGGCGAAGCCCCGCTTCGCGAAAGTTCCCAAAACCTTTTCCAACTCCAAATTATTCTTCCCGTCCGGCTGGCCGGGGAGGGCCACGGCGAGCGGTGAGCCAAAGAGGATCCGCCTGTGCGGGACGATGAAACGAATTTTACCTGCGGTGATGATGGTGTACGGGCACGGATGCCTCTGTATGCCAACAGAATTCGTGGCCCAGCAGAGGAGTTGGCCGTAATCTTCGTCGGAGAGGGGTCGATAAACGAGCGTGCTCTTTCCTCCCGAAGATGTCGTGAAACCTTCGGTGATCTCCTTGAGCTTCCCGTCGCTAGTGTTAAATGCCCATCTGAAAGACACCTGCTCCGGATCCGAATCTACCTGACAATGGATCGCGACGCTTTCGTGCTTCGACACTCCGTACACAAAACGTTGCGGATCCTTGCAAACCGGAGCGACTGGAAATACGTGAAAAAATTCGAGTAAGAACCGATGTTCACGGTCCGGGACAGGATCCCCGAGGGCTCTGACCCTCGGACCGACCCGTAGCCGGCGATTATCTGAGCCTGAATTGAAGCCAGGACACTCACACTTAATCCTAAGGTTGAATTCGGACGAAATGCCTTTGCCTTCTTTGTTGGTCGCGTGGCAGGCATACTTCCCTCTATGAGCTCGAGTCACGCGTTGAAGTACCAACGACTGACTGGATACGATCACTCCCGACGTCTGATTGGAGGAAAGTTCCTCGCCTGCGAAAAGATTCCATGTCGGCAACTTGTTAGCGCAGCGATGCCCAATCTCGTTCACGCTCGTCCGCCGCGATTGCTTTACGACCGGGACACATTCCCACCGCAATGGCGGACCGCGGAATGGGACCGATTCGCCGGAGGGAAAAAGACTGATCTCTGAATATTGCCGTCGCTATCACTGCACATGGGAGTAACATGCATAAAGCTCGAATCGTATGGTGTTCGGAGATGAAGAATTCCCTTTCGCGCTGGCAGACATTCTTAGGGACATGTTCTTCCCGAGACATGCACACACACACTCAGCCGGCTCTTCATGGCGGGCGGTAGTCATCGCTGTCGCCGGAAACATGAAGCAAACAATACGAGGCAACGGGAAACTGAGCGTCGTGTATTTCCCCGGAGAGATTAAATGAAAAAACGCGAGACCGTATTGTCAACTGGCACGGAAACAGACAGCCAGGGACAAGATGCTCTCGACGAACAAACATATATTGCGCTCGAAGACGTTCTCATCGCCCTATTCCCGATCTCGCAAGTTGTTCGCGACACGGCTCCACCGGCGCGCGGGAACGCAAGCGCAGCCGAGCCCACAATCGCACGCTCCCGAGCAGAGCATGGGACATACGGACAGTCGAGCAAGCTCGCAAGAACGCACGCACGCACGCAGGAACGCGGTCAGACATACAGACGTGCAGTAGGAGTGAGGCGGATTTTTTCGGTCGTCTCGTGCCGCTTAGCGACTTTCCGTGAAACGAATCGACGACCGAGTTTTTCTGCGCGGGACTGGAAGCTGCCGATATGGCTGTCCATGCTCTTCCTTCGGTGCCTTTTTTCCCTCTCCTGCAGCTGCCGCGATGCGGAGTGAATTCGGCGTCCATCCAACCGAAGACTTCGTTTCGCAAGGAGGCACCGGGATCGACACGGTCCACTTTCGAGCGTAGTAAGTGTTTGCGAACCCGCGTGCATGCGTAGGTGGGTGAATGAATGCGGTGGCGATTCTGCAGATGTATAGGTGTGTAGCCTCCGTGCGGCCATTCACCCAGTCGCCCGGCCGGCAGAAGGAAAGCACGGATGCTTGGTTGGTCTCTTTTGATGCTGTCAACCAAATAGCCGAACAGGCATCGATCTAAGCACGCAAGCAAACGAGTGAGAGGGAAGAGAGAGGGTGGGAATTCGGAGCAACGACTGACCGGACCGATCCCGGCAGAGCGAGCTCCTGGAAGCACTAAAGGAAAGCTTACGTAGCACGTACCATTGAACAACCATCCAACGTCGTTCGTATACGGATTCGATTGAACCTTGCAATCGAGGTAGACATCTTTCCCTTCTTGTATTTCGTCCAGCTTCAAGCTCCCCCCGAGCTGGAGACTAGACTGCGGCGCATCTGGAAAACAAAGGAAACGCTTTGATCGGGCTCCCGTTCGGATGCGATGTATTTCGTCAAGTACGCGAGCATGTGAGACGTCTTCCAACAGCAGCAACACCAACGACGACGACGACAACAACAACAACAACAACAACAACAAAGGTGCCGAACCGTCTTTGAGCGGCGACAGGGTAAGGAAATAAGCTCCAGAATGAACGTGGCTTCCTTCCTAATGTCGGCGAAACAAGGGTTTTGAGTTGAGACTCCTCCAAGTTTTCAGGGCAGAGTTCAGGTGGAAACGACTTCTCGACTTCGTAGCTCTCAACTAGCCGAGAGCCGAGCTCAACTCGAGCTCCGAACGCTTGTTTCAACGAGACAAGGCGAATGCGCCATCGAACGCAGCTGTCGGAAGGCTCCTGGACTATTAGACTAGGAGACCGTTTTCCTCCGAGACCTGCGAATTCGTGCGTAAGCTCGCGATGAGAAAACTCTACGACTACGACGACGTACAGTGAACATCGAGTTTCCAGGCTTGTTCGAGAGCACTGCCGGGAATGGCCTTGTTTTCTGCTCGGCACGCCAAAATCCGATTGTTGTCATCGATTCCGGGTGTGAACGTGAGAATACTGGTGCTAGTCGAGAGGCCTCCTTTGGAGTCCTCTTCGCGAGTAGTCCTGAAAAATAGCGCAGGGTCGGATTAGTTCCCGACCAGCGAGGGAATCCGCTCCATGTCCCGAGTCGCAGAATACGTCTGGACATCGGCTTATCACCGATGTATTCCGTCATAAACGTTGGCCCCACAGCAAGCAGCGATGCGAAATGTCCAACGGAAGAGAGAATTTCCGGCTCACAGCCATTGATATATCTTGCCATCTTGAATGGCGACACTCGGAACATGCGTACTTAGGCGTGAATCATAGACATCTTCTCGCTGGCGGCTTCCCTTCTGACACCCGGTAAGGACACGTCACGGTGACAGACGGAGGAATTACGGAAACGGTATCTACAGAAAAGGTTTCGAAATAGACAAGTTGTCGGTATACACACTTGATTTGTTGATTGCCTCTCCACCATGAGAGTGTCGCTGGCGGTCGGGATCCCGTTGACGTACAGACCAATTCGACTTCTTTGTTAGCCGACAATGGCCTCTCCACCGGTTGAATTGTGACGTCCAAGGGTTTCACTAGAGAATCGTGGTCATTAGAATCGTTCTAGCCTAGCTCCGCTGCCCTCGATCGGACAATCAAGCCTTTCATAGGCCTAGAAAAACCCTGGAATCTTTTGATAGCGGCTCATTTGTGAGTATTCTTTGGAGCGAGGGTCCGCTACGAGGATGTTGAGAATAGAATTCGACGCTTCCCAATTTGGAGAAGTTCCATAGCGGAGAGTAAAGAGCTTCCCCGGTATGGCGGAATGTCGTAAGATAGAATTTCGAGCTGGAGACCTCAAATCCTCTGCTATTTCTCCGCGGCTCTTTCTCACTCAGATAATAATCGAGATGTGCTCGAGAACGATGCAGCGCAGTCTGCGTCTGCACTCTACTTATACTCCGTTGAGGAAGCCACACGCCACTCAGGAGGTTCCTAAAAACATCGGATCGGAAGTCTCCATGGGAGCTGCTTGACTGCAAAAACTCGGCGGTGAGCCGTAAAAAAGCCGCGCCAAAAAGCTCATCACTCACAATTAAGGTCAAGAGTAATTTGACTGGGAGTAGGTACGGTGATGTTATTGTTTGACGCCTGGCAAACGAGAACGGCGAGGAGGTCGTTCCTCGTGAGTGCCTTCAGGTCCAATTGGTTTTTGACAACCGCGCCGTCCTGATCGAACACGTACGAGTCGTCAATCAAACGGTAATCCTTCCACCAGGTGACAGCCGGTCGCGGTTTGCCTGTTTGAATAGAACAACAATCTTTCGCACATCGGTCTTCACTCAGATAAAATATGACGTCGTATTAGGGACCGTCGAGCTATTTGCAGAGCCTTAAAACGTACCGTGTTCTGCTTGACATGTCAACTTCAGCGGCTCGCCTTCATTGTACGGTCCCACGAGACCGCGAAGCCTTTTACCGTCGCTGTCCACTATCATGGGCTCTCCCGGGGGCACTGCAAGATGGGCGAAAGGAATTCACGTCAAGATACGTGTACGCTCAGTTTCACCGACGCTCTCTACGTCACGTAGCATCACTGCGGAAATCGGAAGACAGTCTGTCTGTACACACATTGTGTGTGAGGGAATATGAACGACGGGAATACTACGTGTTCAAACTGCCAAAATTGGAGTGAGATTCATCGACCTCCGCCCGCTCAACCCGCCCGAGCGGGAAGCGATAAGATCGCGCGCTAAGAACTTCGGTGAGCGCCCCGAGGCGCCTGCTGTCACAGTCGCCGGTGGGCCCCGCCGCCGCGCCGACAGGTTCCGGGGAAACAATTATTGTCTTATCTCAACTCACCGATCACTCGCAGATTGATGACCGTGTTGATGGATCGAGCTTTCTTGAAATCGACCCGGCATCGGTATTCCCCGGCGTCGGACTCCTGCACGGGGTCGAGTTGGAGAAACGCGGGCCGATTTGCCATATTGAAATAGGCCCGACTACCCAACTCCGATAGCGCCGCCTGTTTGGCACGGTCGAGATTTCCTTTCCGGGCGTCGAGGGTGAATATGGGCGCTGGCGTTTCGTCTTTGTACCACAGCACAAGAACGACTTCGTCATCCTTAGCGGGCGGCTCAATGTTGCACGGCAGCGCTACCTTACCACGAACCACGGCTGTGTAGATTATCGAAGCTGAAAAGACAGAGGAATAAGGACATTAGTAAAATTGCCGTATACCGAAGGATGTCCGATGACGTACGCTTGACTTGATTTTTGAGGAAGAGGGCTAAGACCCTTCGATTGGACTATGGACCTTCGAGCCACCGTCCCGCCCGCCCGGCTGGCGGCCGGAAGGACCTTCTCGACTCTGTCGACGAGCTCTTCGACTTGACCGACCGACCGACGGACCGAGTGAGTGGGTCTCATCAGATAGAAAACGTCTGTACTCTTTTCTCGGTGAATCCAGAAGTATCACGGGAGAACAAAGGACAACGTCAACGGAGGAGATATAGGAGTTAGACTTTGCGACACCGCAGAGGAGACGCAGACGAACGGGAAAAAATGTTGACGTAGGGCCTCCTTCGAGCCGGGCCGCAGTAACCGCAGGTCTGGCCAACCATCAGGCCAGCCTGTCTGATCGCCGATCTCGACTGGGAACCGAGGTGGATAGTCGACGAGGGAGACGAAATCCACAAAAGGAATAAGATGTCGACGGTTTGAGACTCGGTGCGGCCGGCGTCTTCCTCCCAGCTTCCCCGCTCGGGACGGGGAATGAGGGAACGCGGGCGGGGAGAGAGAGATAGACGCGACGAAAAGAAAAACTGACAACGACTGGCATCGGAGGGAACGAAGTAGATCTTGTTCTCGAGGGTTGCAATCTTGTCGACCGGGAGGGTTTCGACTTTCGACATTTTCGTTCGCCGCCACCGCTGCCCTCAATGCGGCGATTCAGCACTTCTCTTCAAGTCGACCATTCCGCCGATAGCTAGATCACGGAGCTGTCTGAGTTGCGCGTGTGCTCGTTTTACGAGGGAAGGTACCGAGTAATCATTTCAAGTTGCGAGGAAGCCTCTGAGCGATCTGACAGAGCGAGTGAAAAGCGAGGGAACGTCGTGTACTGTTCTCTGAGAGTCAATCGCCTCGATATGGGAGATACAAGTGAGCGGATCCGCGGCTCGCGCAACTCCGTCGAAGTCTTCCTCGAAGCTTCCGGTGACCGGGTCTATCGGGTAATGATTGGTAATTCGATGGCTATCGGCCCGATCAACGACGCTCAGTCGGTCGGAGGTCATAGGCGACAATCCATCCCATTCCTTCGAAATCATTCCGCAAGAACGGGCCCGCGTGGCTCGATATTGCGAATCCAATTGCGTTCCGGGACGGCTAGATGTGTTCGCGTGTTCGATCCCTCTCTGTCCTGGCTAGCCGTGCAGCGCGATGACGCGGGGAAAGTTCGAGATTCGGGAGGCTCCGCAAACAGCTTTTTGTTCTTTGTCTCCAACAATAGACAGTCTTTTCTTCCGTGAGAGCAAACTTCGACCTCGCAAGAGGCTCGGAGCCGTTCCGCAATAGCGCGACGAGACGGACCTTGGATGAGCTTGACACAGCTTGTCATATTGTCGCCCCCTATGGGATAAAATCGTTCTGAGCGAGCGAGAGAGAGAAAGAGAGGCGAGCGTGGGAAAGAGAGGCGCCAGAGAGCGATCACACCGGACAGATATTCATTGAGTCGGGCCGATCGTCTCCGAGCTCACCGCGATCAGGAATTTTCTCAAAGTTTCTGTCGCAATGACCCGCCGCCGATGGGAAGTGGCAGGAATATCCCCAAACGAGGTGGGATCCGTCTGGGAACCTCCTTCGTCTGCTCAGCCCGTTAATCTCTTCCCGTCCGATTCGACGCTCGTGAATTCCGATATACGCATTGCAGTGGGACTGGCGAGACTCCAGAGACAGTTGAATTCCGGCAACGCCTGGATTTGATCAATAGATCCCGATTCCGAGGCTTCTGGAGCTGCGCGAAGTTTTTCCCCGAGTGTCGCCTGTCACCGTCTACTGGAATCTCTCCGACAGCGGAAACAGCAACAATGAACCAGGGCTTTTCCTTTCTGAATGTTAACGTTCCTTTGTGACAATACTTCATCCATCTCCACCGCCAGGCCGTTCACTCGAGCGTCTAAGAATGCCGGTTTGGCTTTCTACCCGTCGACGAGCGTGGAAAACCTCTGAAAACGTTGATCTACGAGTGCACACGTCAGACGTGTTAGCGCCCGGTCCGGAGTTCCTCTCTCTGCCGCTTGGGACTTGGACTACCTTTATACGATAGTTAGTTTCGGAGGGTTCCTGTTTCCCCGGATTCAACGTCCGGATCTAATAACGACATTAGTTGTCAGCTCTGCCGAGAGAGATAGCTTACGTACCGTAGGATCGTTCCACATAATTTTTTCCTAACGAGCGCTTTGTTTAAAATCGTTTAGCGATTCTCGCGCGCATTGAGCTTATACGAGCGTCGATGTAGTACGTTCGTACGTAGATTTCCCGCTGAATTCGCTTCGGGGTCGGACACTTGTTCGTTGCCGAGAGCGGTTTTGCTCGCCCCGCTTTCGACCAAAAAAATGCAATCATTCAAAACGGTATGCCAGAGACGATGATGATGATTATTATCATTGCCATTATCGGAGTTCGCTCAATCTCTCCCTCCAATCAGAAACATCGGCAGCCCAGAGTTCAAACTTTGAAGCCTCTCCGCTCCCGAACGATCTCAGTTTACACGTCGGTCGTATCTATTGATTCTCGTTTCCACTCGACCCGGATGAAACTCGGACATTTTGCCCGGCTGCCGCCGCCCCGATGCGCAGTCCACCACAAAAAACTCAGCTGATGGAAGAAAAACGGACGGTCGCCCCACGCTAAACTTTTGTGCCGTCGTCGTCGCACCGACATGAGCCCGGAACGGCTGTTTCTGATGATGATCTGCGAGAGATACAACGATCCAGCGGGACGCTTCGCACGGATTGCTTTCGATATCGTTACGGCCGCGTGACGCCGGCCCTCGTCGGAAGAGGTTGCCGGCTTAGTCACCGAATATGGGTCTGTGTAGGCAAACGCGCAAAATCCAAGATTAGCCCACTTAATTCGCTACCGGGAGATTCACATTTGGCGGGAGACGGCTGAATGTGGCAGCGATCCTCTCGTCCTGAGCTCTTCAGGCGCGGAGACTTCCGCGGTGCGGCCGGCGGCGTAGTGAATTCCATCAAGGAGGTTCGTTGGCCTCGCGACCCATCTCCGTCTAGAGTTCATCCAATGAACTTCATTGTCCGCGTCGGATACCTACGTGAGCGTGAGCTCCATTCCGAGCATGGCCAGTCTCCTGGCGCTGATGTCCAGAGGAAGCCGGTGACGCAGACCCGATTCCTGAGAGCTCCTGCCCTTCAGTAAAACTCCGTCCCACTGAGTTTTATCGCTTGATAGCAGCCGGAGAATGAGTCGGCAGTAGTCAAGAGCGTACAACGGTGGGAGAGGTCGGAGTTCCAACGACCGAGACAGACGGTAGACGGTTCGGCTGTGCACCCGTACAGCCTTCAATGGCTGTGTTAATGGGTCCGATATGGTCGCGACGACAGAAGTTTCCGGCAGCGTTGTGAAACATGTGTACGCACTGCTGCTCTTGACGCACTAACTTGTCGATGTTGACGCAGCCAGCCGATGTCGCGCCGTCGTCGTCACTCGCATGCAGCGGCGACTGCAAAACCTACTTACTGTGACATATGACCGCGGATGTTCGCTGTGACGCCGATGGGCCGAGACTCGCGATCGTTTGGCAACCGGTTCCATTAGAAAATTCACTGCCGACGGCGAATTCGGCGCCACGGCACGCTCTCGCCCCCGACCGGGATTGAGCTATTTTGCGCGTTCGATCCACCTATCCACGGGTAGGGAGATACTTCATTGAAGCCGTGGTGAATTTCCCCGGGGAGTCGTCATGCCCCGCTCTGGAGTGATTGTCGCTGATTGTCAACCTCAAAGTGGCCGCTTCCATTACCCAGGATACGCGATCAAGGTACGGGATCGTCATTCTCGCGAATTCCCGAAGTTTCCCATGGTCGACATATTGCTCGGGCCTCATACCAATACTTCTGGCCATATTTTTCTACTTGGGAAATCTCCCCGAGTCCGCCGGGGGCTTCGGCTGTCAGCTGATGGCTCCGAAATGCCTCGGAGCTATCTCCTTTGCTTCGCGCCCTAAACGCTTCTCTATCGGCCCGTTGTTTGATCGGGGCGGACGGCTATCTATGTGTTTCTTGTATTGCCGCCATTAACGTGTATCCCTCTTCCTTCCTTTGAGGAGGGTCGCCCTCAACGCGTTCGGTCTCGCTATATAATGAGGACCTGTTACGTGGGGCTCGGGTATGCTTGCGGGCGGTATCGTCGTCTACTGGCCCCGGGCGCTTCTATTGAGGCTTCATCCACCATAGATTGGCGATGATCAGTCTGAGCTTCAGCGACGGAAATCGTTAGGTCATGACCGTGGCTCTCCGGCGACGACTGTCGTCCTACCATGGAGGAAGAATAGATGAACGTTCGATTAGACAATTCATGGCGTCATTGACTGCGAGACGTCGGACGTTTAGCTTGATGGCCGAAGACGACAACATCGAGAGCAAGTAAACCTTACGCCGTCTGCGTGGCCGCGCCAATCCGTTTTTCTGTCACGGCTCGCCGAGCTCGAGCGCTAATAGAACTCTTCATCATTCGGCTGAGCACGTCACTTCAAGATGATGTTTCATCTCGAATATCGCTCGCGAGGTGCTCGAGTCTCACCACCATGACGTCGTGTCGTCGTTCCCCAGCAAGGCGGACGTCGACAGCGACGTTCTTTGTTCCTCGATTCCGACCGAGCCCACGTATTCACGGGAGCGTTGAAGACGGATCTGCTCTATTTGTTCATTCCCGTCCGCAATCTTCGATTTGGCCGCGGATCGGTCGCGCGGAGCGCCCCTCGTTGCGAATTCACAAGCGGGCGGTGAAATATCTCCGTCGGGCTACGCGCCGTTTCCGACGATCCGGGACGCAGCTTCGTCCCTTTGGAGAACAGAGATGGGAGTTGTGCTCCCGCTCCGCGGCTCAATAAGTCTGTTTGCATTTGTTTAATAGGGGCTTCCGCCAAGGGATAAATGAGCATTCTGAGCGATGCGCTCG